CACCATCCCTAATCCCCTCTCTGTGCACCCTGCTCCAGCCTCACTGTTCTTGACATTTCTCTCCAGCATGCTGTGCTAGCTTCTGCCTCAGGAATTTTGTAATGAGCATTCCCTCTTCCTGGAGTACTTCCTGTCCCCTCTCTCTCCCCACTATACCCATGGTTAACCCCCTGTCCTCTTTCAGATCTGTGTTCAAATGTCAGTTTCTCAGAGATGTATTTTCCAACCACCCAATATGGGATGGCAACATTCTCTTCATGCTCTGCTTGTTTTCTTCCTTCTTACTCTTCCAGTTTTTCTTTAGAGCATACATTTCTGCTTTTCTGTTGTCTTCTCTTCACTACAATATAGTCTCCATTTAGGTAGGAAATTTACCTGTTCTATTACACCTTCCAATGCCTAAAACAAAGCCTCAGAAACAATAAGAATTCACTGAATACGTGTTGAATGAGCATGTAAAATAGCAGATTCAAGTCCACTGATTTTTTCAGCCAGAGCTGAATAAAACTGGGGTAGGCTTACTTACTAGTTCACAGGGTCTAGAATTGGTCTTCCTGCCTCAGTCTTCTAAAACCCATGACATTGGTCCATATTGATATGACCAATCTTTTGTCTTGGCTTCTGTTTTAATACTTCAGTTTTCCAGTTGGGATTAGAGCTAGGCCCTAAATTCCAGTGGCCTGGTTGCAGCCCTGATGCCCACTTTGAACCTTGTGAGTTCCCCCTAGTAATACTGCCCCTTTCCCCATATTGCTCTCAGACTTCTGTGGACAGACAGCTTTATACATCGATGCTGTCTTTATGACTGAATACTGCTGGTACTGGCACCACCGTTGACTTCCGTGTTACTATGGTACCCATCTGAGTATACATCCCCTTGGAATTTCATAGTCTGAAGTATTAGTCACTCACAAATCCTACCAACCCTGATTTTCTTTACTTCTCTAGTGCTCTTCTATGCTGAGATTCTAGAATGATTTGTTTTTTTCCCCAAGATTTATAATAGATTAATGGGAATTTAATGCCGCTCTCATAATAATCAGAGACTTCTCTATTTTAGTGCTGCTCATGATCCTTAATTTCTGGTCAGATCTTTACTTGCCATCTGGAATTTTCTACATATATTCTCAGAAATTATATCTGTTTATGTCCTAGGCCCTTCTAAAATGATCTAATAAGCTAAATTCCACTAATATACTAATGCCAATAACTGCTCAAAGCCATCGTCTTTTAAGATGTATTTGGGTTTTAATAAAAATGAACTTCCACGGTGTAATTTCAGAATGCTGCTGAGTCATGGTCATGGCCTCCTAACTGCTTTCCAGCTTTTACATTGCCACTTTCTCTCAGCACAATAGTCATATGATTTGCCAAAATATTTTATCATGTTGCTCTTCTGTTGAAAGCTCTCCTGAAGTTTCATATCCCACACAGAGAAAAAGCCAACTTGGAATGTTCTAGACAGCCGTGCATTAGCACAACTCAAACTTTTACATGCATATGAATCACCTATGGATAATGTTAAAATGATATTTGTGTTTAGAAAGGCTGGGATAGGGGCATGAAAGTCTATATTTTTAGGAAGCTCTCAGGTGATGCAGGCACTGCTAGTCCACAGGACCACACTTTGCTAGACCGTACGTGATTCATCTTCTCTCTACCTCCAGACCTTTTACCTCTTGACTTTGTCACATTTTTGATATTATCCATTATTTCTGAATCCATACTGGCCTCCTTCATACTCTTGAAACATCTAGGCATGCTTCTACCTCAGGGCCTTTGTACTGGCTGACCGTCTTTCTAAAAACACCTTACTCAGACATACACATACTCTCCCCTCTCCAACCTGCTTAAAGTTTTTATTCAAATGTTACTTTTTTAGTAAATCCTTCCCTGGCCACCTGATTTAATAAAGCCAATTACCTTGCTTCTTGGTATTTCCCATCCTCTTCTCCTACTTTATTTTTCTCCTTAACATTTCCCACTACTGAACATACCATAGAATGTGTTTTTCTTTTTTATTGTTTACACCCATTAGAATGCAAACTGCATGAAGACATTTATTCTCATTTCTATCCATCCCAGTGACTAATGTACTGTTTGATATATAGAAGGTGCTCAATATATAATTGCTGAATGAATGCACAAAAAATCAGTTGCATTTTACAAATCATATTTTTTTTTCTACTTATGCAAAAGGTCTTGAGTAGAGCAAGGCAGAAACAAATTTGTTCTCATTTACTTAGGGTAGTTTGATACAGGTGAATGTCTTCCAAGGATACCAAATCTGAACTCATCTACTTAATGCTCATTTACACAGATTTCTTTGGTACAAGCCAAATGAAGATGGCAGATGAGATCAGTATCTACCCTCAAGTAAGAGAAACTTAATGAGACTGGTAGCACAATTCAGAACAAGCACAGACTGAGACATTAATTGAATCTATTTAAAGTTATAGATTGTGAGGATTGTTTTTCTCAGTGATGCAGGCTTTCCTGGAAGGCAGTTGCTATATACATGGATTCATGCCAAAGATATTATAGAAGAAGTTTGGCCTTTTGTGAAATATTGGCCTCAAAGACCTCTGACATCTTGTCTGCCTGTACAAATTAGAAATCCATGACAGAGAATAAAAAGCTGCTGTTGAAATGTTCAAGACTCATTGCTTGAAGAAGAATCCACCACCAAATTTCATGTGTCATAGTTCTCAATTTCATGAAACTCCAATGAACTTTAGCAGGCAAAAAGGTTATTCTTTGTTTGTTGGTTGTTTTGTTTTTTAACAGAAGCTGGCCAAGATCTTGCAAACTCAAACCAAAATACATCTTATTATTATTAGCTGCTCTCTGTCTAATCAATTGTCAGCTGTTTCTAATTTGGGTTGAAAGAAATCTGCAGTACAAACAAATTTCACTTAGATATTTTCTATTATAAATTCATTCAGAAGGGCATTTTTCACAACCCCTCTAGTAAATCAGAAAATTGAATAAATATGGTATAATAGATATTTGAGGACTTTATTTGCAGTTTCAAACTCATTAGCCACCTTATCAATGGACTAACAAAGAATAGAAATTATTTTCTACTTCTTTTACTGCATCTTCATTTTATTATGTCACAATTTTACATTAAGATTAGGAAATATTAAATGATAAAGTTTTATAATTATAAATTGCTCACATATACACTCTCCCAGGTAATCTTCAGGGCCATCTTGTAAGAAAGGTTTATGGCTCTACTCGGACTACTTATTGATGCTTTACATATAGTACCTTATTTAATCTTGACAAAAACTGTGTGAGATAGGACTCTTCATGATGCAACTCCTAAGGCTCAGAAATTTTAAGTAACTAGTTATATTTATACATTTTATTTTAAAAATGAGCTGGATTGAAACTCAGTTTGATGTGTCCATCAAGACCATGCTGATGAGAGAAAATAAAATGAAATTTCTCTGGAATAATACTGTATAGAATGAGTTTATAAGGCATGAGGAGCTTTGGCTCCTAAAATGGAATAGAAATATGAACTGTAAATTTCTGTTTACATTCATCATTAAAAAACTGAAATCTCTTTTTAACAAATAATATAAAGGAAAATAAGTCATTCTCAAAGCCATGCTGTATACTTATTCTGAACACAAATTCATTACCATGCTATGAGTACCTAGTAAGCCTTAAAACATTTACCCTCCTCCTTTCCCCCAAATACATGTTCATTCACCTACCTGGATCCACCCTGAACCTCCCCCCATCCCATTAACTGGGAGACACCATGTTGAACCTCCAGAAGACAATGGTTCTCTTGAGAAAGCCAAGAAGGAAGTATTTTAGAATCAATAACTGAACCCCAGAAAATGGAGTATAATAAGGGCCAAAAAGTTAGAGGCCATAGCTAACATCTCCAGGATATTCACTTCCTTAAATACATCATTAATACTTGGAGAAAGGTTTATGTTACCATCATCAGCTCTCAGAAGCATGATATCAATATGGTGCCTGCAAGAATTACTAGTCTGACTCTAGGGGCCCATAGTAGTAGCCATGGCAGACAAAAGGTGTCAGATGAAAAAGCAGAGAATAACGCTGGCACCTGTGGCAGAATAATTTTTATAATCATTAAAATATCCTCTAGCATGATATTAAGTTTGACATTAGAACAGGAAACACAGACTTGGAGCCCAAATTATTCTGCAGTAGAAGATCAGAGAGAAAAAATGTATAGCACTATTGCTGTTATTACTGACATTCACCTGTATTCCATGATTATTTATTAAATGTCAACAATGGTTTTCACTAGTCTAGTCACTAGAGACAATTTTAAGAAAAAAAGTCAGTTCTCTCATAGAGGTTGACAGGGTTTGAAATGCTTCTGTATATATGTTTATAAACTGCAGTTCAGAGTAAAAATAGCTTTAAGACTTTCACATAAAGGAAAAACAGTCTTTCTATGCTTTTTAAATATAGATAGTTATAGAAAAATAAGATGTAAATAAAGATTTTCCCATTTAGAAATAGAAACAGACATCTGTAGGAACCTTATTTGTTGATAAGATTAACTTTTCCTTTTAGATAGCTTCACATAATCACAACTAAAGATAACGGTTTAATCTAAAAACAAGTGCAGTGTAGAAAATAACTTGAGTCATTTAAAAGCATCAGATGACTTGAATGATATTTGGAATGGGATTTGTGAAAACTCTTTCAGACTTCATGTTTGTTAAGTCCTTAACCCTTTTCTGAACGAAATACCAGCGAGCGTATTTGATTTTGGAAGTCAAATGGAAACTGATCTGTTAAGCACACTACAGAGGACTTTGAATTCCCTCTACTGGTGCCATGAGTCATTTAAAAAATCTTCTTTAAATCAATATAAGATGTAATCTAACGGGAAATTCTCTGTCAGAATTAAAGATAAAAAATAAACAAATCTCAACTTTGCAATCCCAGCATGGGGCACAAAATGGTAAGGACTATTAATGGAGAACCATGGACAGTACCTTTTGAATGCCCGCTTGGGACTCCAGAACATTGTTCTCTGATCCATTGCTTCGGCTGATCATCCGCCACATTTGGGAATACATGCTGTCCCTCTCAAAAGGATTCAATCCTTTCATGCGGACATGCTCATATACTGCAGAGTCCAGGACTGTGCCGTAAGGGATTTCTGTTTGCTTGGAAAGGTCCTGGAGAGACCTTGATTATTGAGAGAAAAGAGAGACACAAGAGAGTACTGAATATTTCCAAGCAGGAATAAAGTCAAAAGAAGAAAAAGGCAATATGTGTGGAAACATGTATCAAATATATTTCTTATTTTGTTGTTTCCTAATATTAGGATATAATGTGTAAGAAAAGACTGCTGTTAGGGTATATGGCATTGATACAAATTATGAGAACACAAAATTATTGAAGGAAAAGTGAAAATTTCTAGTGGTAATACAATGCTTTTTTTGGTGAAGCTTCACAGGGGAAAAAGCTAGCAATTCCATTAAAGGCAAGTTACATTAGACTGCTAGATAATCATATAATAATTAGGTAATTAAAAAAAGTTCAATATGTTATAAGCATTAGGTCTACATTCCTTTAGGTAGCAAGATATTTTTATAAAATTATAGAATTTACATAAGCAACATGTTTTGAAGTGAAATGTAAGCTTAAAAATTAGTAGTTAGGGTAGTCATTATTTATTGAATACATACATGTTAGATAATTGATAGACATTATCCTAACGGAAATGCCTCACGTAAAGAATTATTTGACCTATTTTAAAGATAAGGAGACTTAGGTTGAGAGAATAAATGACTTGATCAGTGTGGCACAGTCAGTGAGTGTGAGAGCTAGAATTCAAATATGGGTATGTCAAGCCCCAAAGTATTTCCTATGCAAGATGCTGGTACTTATTTCCATATTTCTTTGGCTATATTTGCCTTAGCAGTGTGTGTGTTTGTGCGTGTGTAGTGTGGAGGTGGGAGGAGTGCTTTCTATTTGGATTAGAATACATTTCATGTTTCTGGAAAGCTGAAAACATATTCAGAATAATGCTCCAAGATTTTTAAGCCAATCTTTTGAGTTACAGATAGTATCTATTTGTCCCAGGTTATCTGTCTCCAAATTGGTGGTTGATTTCCCTCCATTGAGTTTCCAAGTCCCTCTATATTTTCCAGCTTAAAGAACCAGTTATCATTCCACTGGAACTTATAGAATTTGTTTAGTGTGTAGGTGCCCAACTCTAATGACTGACATTTAAGGACAAATATTGTGTCTCTGACATAGTGTTAAAATCAGATGCTGGCACAGTTACAACTCACTAATTTTTGGGAATGGGAGCAGATGCTATGAAACACTACACTGTACTTTGAACAAGAATGAATGCTTACAGAACTCTACAACCATGAGCCATGAATCTCATGTAATGTTTATCTCTGATCTTTTGGTTTGTTTCTAGATGGAGTTTGCTAATGATTTCCTGAGGATCTTTCAACCAACCCTAGCATTAGGTAAAGACACTGGGAATATTCTTGCAGTTCACTCATCTCCATCATGTACAAAACTATGTTGGAAACAATACATTATGGGCCATGTTTGTTAGAGGAGTATTTGTGCCAATTTCTAATAGTAACTTTCAGCAAAACTTAATCTGCATTTTATTGAGTTTTGTGTTGTTGATGTATATTATTTACTCCATGGAAACTACCATGATAATTCCTTTTTCTTCTACACATCTATTGCATAAAATAATGAATTTAAACCATCCTATTTGAAAAGAAAGTGTAATTCTGGAATTTTCTGGAATATTCTAAAACTATTGAACAAATTCTAGTCTTTGTAAAGATAAACTAAAGTGATAACGTAAATGAATAATTGAGGGCAAAAGCAAGAGGAAAATGAGCAATATAGAGCTGGGATACAACTGAATACTGAAGTCAGTGGGCGTTTACTTGTGGGACATACCATAATTCTCTTGGTATATTATAACAAAAATTTTGTTTCAAGAGAGCAATTTACTGCTGTTTTCAGTAGTATCAGTACAACTGTATCAAAAACATACACATTTTTTAACATATATCCTCCTGTTTAGTGGTGGATACCCAAAAATGGTAACACAGGAAGAAGAAATGAAATATATCTACACAGGTTACAACAGTACTTGTTTGTTAAGTTTCTGTAAATAGAAAGGTGAAGGCCAGGTAGTTGCACACAGCACTGTCTAGAGCCTGCAGGTCTATGGATGGAGAAAGCCCACATTGCAGGACACCAGACACCCTACCAGTACAAGACAGGCCCTTGGCTGTCTGACTCTAGGGCCCCATAGAGTTAGTACTACCAGACACTTGCTAGTACTATCATAGTGTCTGGTAGTACTAGCAACCAAACTCAACTATAACTATCAGAAGGTTTCAATTTAATGGAGGTGAGATCACCGTTTAGAGTAATTTTTTTCAATGCCTTCATCTAAATATATAAATGATTTGCCCAAAGAGTCACCCTGGTTAAATGCTGCTAAACAAATTAGTGCTCCTTTTAGACTTTCATGAAAAGAAAGCTAAAATAAAATGTTAAGACCTTTAATATAGGCAGTTTTCCGTCACATAGCTTTACCTTAAATGTTAGCTTTACAGTCTGATAATAAAGAGTTTTAACACAAACTCTTTAGTTGGTTAATACAAACAGTATTAACCAACTAAACAGTAGTTTAGCTGGCGAAGTTGTTTGGTACAGAATAAATTTTTAGAGGAATATGTTAACATATTGCCTATGTGAAGTTGCTGGTGTTACAAAAAAGGCAGTTTATATTCAACATACTTCAAGTTTAGAATGGCAGAGCATCTTGTAATTTAGAACAAAGGCCTGTTCCCTCTAGTAGTTTCTGACATCAAGTGCAACTTATAAATTTGCCTTGAGACATGTTTGCAATAAAAATTACAGGTTGTCTGATTCAGCATGTTCCATTAAAATACACTAAGGTAGCACCAAAGATGACAAAAATAAAATGACTGAAGCAAAATGAAGTGCACACAAATAGCTTATTACAGAATGAAAAAGCCATTTCAGGAGACCAGCATAGAAAGGGAGTGACTATTACAAGTGGTCACTTTGTTACTTTCATACTAAGAAGAGTTTAGAATAAGATTAGCAGAAATTCTGTAGCCTATATTATCAGCCTCTAAAGGAAACATTGTTATTTCCTTTAGATGTTATTGGTTATTCAACAAATGGTAATCTTCAGAAAATTGTATCTGAAGGTCAAAAGCTGAGTGCATATTATTTAGACATGCCCAATCATTGTTTTAAAATGGATAACAACCATAGAATCATTAATAGGCACCTAATATATATACATTAATTTACCATGGCAGATACTGACATTTCTTTTTCTTTCTTTTTTTTTTTTTTTTGAGTTGGAGCCTCACTCTGTTGCCCAGACTGGAGTGCAGTGGTGCTATCTCGGGTCACTGCAATCTCTGCTGCCTGGGTTTAAGTGATTCTCCTGCCTCAGCCTCCCATATAGCTGGGATTACAGGCACCTGCCACTGTGCCAGGCTAATTTTTGTATTTTCAGTAGAGACGGGGTTTCACCATCTTGATCAGGTTGGTCTTCAACTCCTGACCTCGTGATCCACCCACCTTGGCCTCCCAAAGTGCTGGGATTACAGGCGTGAGCCACAACACTCAGCCAGCATTTCTTTTTTAACAATAGACATTTCTCATGTGATGGAAGGAATGGGAAAATTGGCCAGGAGCAGTGGCTCATGCCTGCAATCCCAGCACCTTGGGAGGCTGAGGCAGGTGGATCACCTGAGGTCAAGCGTTAGAGACCAGCCTGGCCAACATGGTGAAACCCTGTCTCTAATAAAAATACAAAAAAAATTAGCCAGTCATGGTGGCAGGCACCTGCAATCCCAGCTACTTGGGAGCCTGAGTTAGGAGAATCTCTTGAACCCAGGAGATGGAGGTTACAGTGAGCTGAGATCGCACCACTGCACTCCAGTCTTGGCGATAAGAGCAAAACTCTGTCTCAAAAAAAAAAAGGAAAAAAAAAAAAAGGTAGGGGGGAATCTATAGCACTCCGGAGTAATCTGTTGTGAACATATTATGTATAACTCATATCATACTCCATTTCTTTACTTAGCCACATATACTCACATAAAACTCAGTGAATCATCACTCTGAGAATCCATTAAACTTGAGCTCTCTTCTCTCAAACCCACACTCAGGCACACAGTAAAAAATGAGTGTCTATAGCTCTAAGTGGTGGATGATAAAAAAAAGCAAATGCTTTGCTGCTCTAATCAGCCTTATCTTCTCAACACTTGACTGAGATTATTCTCTTATTCCTGCTACTGCTCTCTGATCAGACTAGCATCAACCTGTGGGTACTACACAATACTGACAGCTTACAGGTAAGTGGTATTTAGTTATTTGTATAAATAGTACATACACTGAGGAACTGTGTAATTGAGGGCAATTAAAAATTTTAAAATTTGAGTGGCTTTAGGTTGCTGTAAAACTCTTTCTATGAGAATAATAAACACTGGAACCCTTTTCAAGCATTTAAAATTAATTTTGTGCTGAGCTCAGTGGTTCATGCCTGTAAAGCACTTTGGGAGGCTGAAGCACATGAATCACTTGAGGTCAGGAGATTGAGACCAGCTTGGCCAACATGGTGAAGCCCTGTTTCTATGAAAATTAGTTGAGTGTGGCGGTGCACACCTGAAATCCCAGCTACTTAGGAGGCTGAGGCAGGGGAATCACTTGAACCTAGGAGGCAGAGGTTGCAGTGAGCAGAGGCTGTGCCACTGCACTTCAATTTGGGCAACAGAGAGGGACTCCATCTCAAAGAAAAAAAAATATGAAAAAAATTGAATTAATTTTGTTATATGTTACACTCTGATATTAGATCTATCTGACAGCACAGCTTTAACACTGAGTAGGTTAGATTTTAAAGTCAAGCATATCTGTCAAATCAGTATTTGATTGGGTTATCTACTGTTTTTTATAAAGATTATGATAATGATGATTCCTCCTTCCACAATGCTTTCAATTATTTCTATTGGTATTTTTTTGTGGAAGTTCTCTCTCTTCCGGCAGAGTCAGGTAATTCTTTATAAACATTGTTAAAGAAGAATTCATGCATTTAAGTAGAATAACTAATGTATAATTTCCCTTCCAAGGATGAGATTGTGTGATTTTATGAT